ATGCTTCCAAAAAGACTAGCAATAATCAAATGTCAGGCACACAAGAAGGGAAATGATTATGTCATTAAGGGAAACAATGCAGCAGATTTAGAAGCTAAAAAAGCTTCAGGGTGTCAAGTAGCAGTATTAGCACCTGTAGTACTTATCATACCTCAACCTCAATTAGAGGATATAATTCGAATTCAAAAACAAGCAGGCCCCTATGAGCAATCAATGTGGCACCAAAGGGGAGCTAAAAAAGACTCACAAGAGGTCTGGCGTACAGATGAAGGAAACATGGTTGCACCTACTTCACTTTTGAATAATCTTATTGCAGATGCGCATGGTTTTGACCATTGCGCAAGGGGGGAAGTGATAAGGAAAATTAAACAACAAGGATATTGGTCTCCTTATTTATATGCAATGGTGGATGAATTTTTGTCCACATGTGAAGTTTGTGCCAAATACAATGTGAGGAAAGGGATAGCGACACCAATAGGCCATATACCAGTACCAGAAGGGCCCTTTAAGCATTTGGTAATGGACTATGTGGATATGATAAAGCGAGTACAAGGAAAGAGATACATGCTTGTGATCATAGACAGATTTAGCAGGTGGGTGGAGGCAGTACCATCAGCAGATCTGGGAGCAGGAACAGTAATTAAATTTCTAACAAGAGAAGTAATTCCTAGATTTGGAATACCATCAGAAATAAGTTAAGATAATGGGTCGGCATTCATACAAAAAGCTGTAAAACCAGTATTGCAACAATTAAGAAAAAAACAGGCACAAGGGTGCTCGAAAGGGTTAATGGAACTATCAAGGCCAAAATTAACAAAATATGTGAAAGTACTAAACTTAATTGGATTGATGCATTGAAGAAATGAACTGCCATACATAAAGTTATCTATTTACAGGAAAAAAAGAAAAGAGCCCAGAGAGGAAACAGAGACTGCATGTCCAGTGTTCCGGGTGACCAAGTATATCTGAGGGTATTCAGGAGAAAATTGAATGAGCCTAGGAGAGAGGGACCCTACAAAGTGGTGAGAGCTACTCCAACAGCAGTCCAAGTGGAGGGAAGCACAACCTGGTATCATCTAAACCACTGTACTAGAGTTCCCACGGAAAAGACGGAAAGGAAAGAAAACAGACAAGCAGACAATGCAGGAGAAAGTAACGAGGAGAAACCAGAGACACAAGATGAAGTGCAAAAGGACGAGAGCACAAAAAAAGATTCACAAGGAGCTCCCTTCCTCCTGTCAGACGAACAGGAGAGGAAAGAGAATAAGTCTGATAACATATCTGAAGACCATCCTATGCCTAATGCACCTAATATGCAGAAAGGAACCATTCTATGTATGGAAAATGCCTTAAAGTCAAAACTGTATAAAAAGAGAGGCAGAGAAACATTCTGGAGATTTCTCTGCAGAGAACGTCTCCACTTTATTCTTGATGTAATAAAGTGTATCTTCTGGCATCAAAACCCAAGACTGAGTGTGGTTCCTCAGATTAACGGCAGACGACACTACACTACCAGGCTCCATCACAAACCAGCAGCCTACAGTCCGCACAAGCCAGCTACCAATCTGTGTCCCAACCCAGTGTCCTGCAGTCCGCTCAAGCCAGCTACCAGTCCATGCAACAGCCTAGTGGCCAAAAACCAGGACTGACCCGATACCAGCCTGTCTCTCAGCCCAGTGTCCTGCAGTCAGCCCAAACACGCTACCAGTTTGTGCCCCAGCCTGGTGGCCAAAAGCCAGGACGGATCCAATACCAGCCCATCTCACAGCCTAGTGGATTGCAGTCAGCTCAAGCCAGCTACCAGTCTATGCAACCACCTAGTGGCCAAAAACCAGGACTGACCCGATACCAACCTGTCTCCCAACCCAGTGGCCTGCAGTCAGCACAAGCCAGCTACCAGTCAGTGCAAGCTCACTACGAGTCTGTGTCCCAGCCCAGTGGCCAATCTGTGTCTCTTCAGCCTGGATTCCAGCTGTCTTCTATGCCAGAGCAGTCAAGTTATGCGTCTCTTTCCAGTTTTGGTTCCCAACCCCTAGCGCAACCCAGTAATGTACAACTTGCTTCAAGCTATGAGTTCAATCCAGTAGCCTGCAGTCAGCACAAACCAGCTACCAATCTGTGCAACAGCCTAGTGGCCAAAAACCAGGACTGACCCGATACTAGCCTATCTCACAGTCCAGTGGCCTGCAGTCAGCACAAACCAGCTACCAGTCTATGCAACAGCCTAGTGGCGAAAAACCAGGACTGACCCGATACCAGCCTGTCTCTCAGCCCAGTGGCCTGCAGTCAGCACAAGCTCACTACCAGTCTGTGCCACAAACTAGTGGCCTGCAGTCCGCATAAACCAGCTACCAGTCTATGCAGCAGACTA